TTCCTTACAAGCTTCAGTTTTAAATCTCAGAGTCAGGGTCAGCAAAATAGCTTTAGTGGTCTAAAGCCCCTGCTGAGGTAAGCTCACAGGGACCAAAGTTCAATTCCCAGCAACACATGCCATGCCAGCCCCACCCCAGGGTGGGCTGAGATGGCCCCCAAAAAATAAAAAAAATAAAAATCAGAGTCAGAATCAATTATACATGACCCTCGGGAGCTCCAAACTCTAGCCATGCATTTATGTATTCAAAATCACATGTTATTTCATTAGATGTGAAATCCTTCCTCTTAGATGTTTAAACTCAGCTCAGAACAAATGGGATGTTCTGCGTTTCTTTGAGTTCATCCAGTGTGTTACTAATCAGTGCTGCACAACACTCCATGCTCTCTTGTTCAAGAAAAGACATGTACTCTCCCCCTAATTCCCTGCTAGCACTGAATTCGCTTGAACAAAGGTCTTGATGGACCTGAATAATCAGTGTACAGCATTACATGTCTAGGATCATGGATAGAGGTAACTGTCGAGACCTGGAGTACTACCTATGCATTTCATTTTATGTGTCTAAATGTCATCCGTGGGTTCCTCCCATGTAGGGTATAATTTACAAACATGCACAAGGCTTTACTTCCACAATTCCTGCGACATCCACTGCTCTAGATTGTGAGCAGCACAGGATCTAGGGGAACTGGCAATCTCAGTCTCCTTGACTCTTTCCCAAGATATCACCAGAGGTTGAATAAAGATGCAGAAGACAATTTAAGAAAAAAAAAAAAAAACACCTGAAATTTTAATAGGAAGTGTGAGAGATGGAGCGAAAGTGAAAGGAGAGAGATGTTTTCAAAGAGTATCAGTAATTGGTTTGCATGGTAACCATTGTCCAGCAAGTAGCGTGATTATTTCATTTCATTTTATAACCTTCTAAGTAATATATATGTATATATACACACATTGTTTATAGCAGTGAAAATAGTTTAAAGTACTGTAAGTAAATGAGATATGAATCAGGTTTATTTGTTCAGTGCAGATAAAAGATTCTTTCTGAAGCTTCTTCAGGAAGTGTTAGGCAGGAGCAGGAGCCAGGCCCCTGAAGACTGAGGCTGCCAAGCGATCACGTCAGAGCCATGATGGCGAGGAGGAGTGGAGCAGCCTCAGCCTCTGGCCTCTTCCACACGACCATGGCCATGTGGCTCTTCTGCTGGGTGGCCCTTGGTCTCCTGGGAGCAGGTGAGGCCCGAGCACAGAGCACAGAAGAAAACTCTCACCCTGGGCATCCGAGGCAATCTCAGTCCTTCTCTGTATCCTCAACACTCTGCAACTTGGGCCTTACCTTCTGTTCCTTCTCTTCCAGGCTTTTCTGATGATGAAGTTACCCAGATACCAAGACATCTGGTCACATGGAAAGGACAGAAAGCAAAGATGACCTGTGCCCCAAAAAAAGGACACAGTTATGTTTACTGGTATCAGCAAAAGAAGAGTGAAGAGTTGAAGTTTATGGTACGTTTTCAGAACGAAGATAACATTGAAGAAACAGATGAGTTCAAGGCAAGATTCTCAGCTGCATGTCCCAAAAACTCTAACTGCCAATTGGAAACCAAGTCGTCTGACCTCGAAGACTCAGCATTGTACTTCTGTGCTAGCAGTCAGTCCACAATGCTGAAATCTTCATTCCTCTAAGCGCACAAACCCCATGGACCCAGCTCAGGAAACAGCTGATTGGTTAGGTTGGAGGAAGTTACAGAAATGAGCTGGAGCCAGCTAACCACAGCATAGTTTCTTACACAGCTCAAGGGGGTTTAAATACCAAGAATCAATGTGCTGAAGATTCTGATAACGACCCCTATGTCGGGGTCTAGGCTTGCTGCCTCTCTAGAAGCCTCTCTTCTCTGGCCAGCCAAACAGTTCAGAGGATTAAAACACCTACAAGCAGGTACAGGGGCCAGGGGCCGATCCTGGGGCTGACCCCGCTTCTGGGGCGCACTGAGGAGGCAGTTGAGACTGGCTGTGGTGATGTGCACTTGTAATTCCAGCTCTCATGAGGCTGTAAATATGTGAATTACTATGAGTCCTATGTGTGCAGTGCAACCCTGAACACTCTGTAGATCCTTTCCTAAAATGCAAAAAAATGAAGGAAAAAAAGAACCCCTCTTGTCTTTTGTCTCCCCACCCTCTTCTCTCCCTACATGTTTTCTTTCTCTTTCTGGCCTAGTCTTCATGATGACTTGAGAGCCTCCACTCTGCTAAAGATCCACCCCAGTCCTTAAAAGCTTTGGTTTTAAATCTCAGAGTGAAGGCTGGCAGGAGAGCTCAGTGATCTAAAGTGCCTGCTTAGCCAAGTGCTAGGGACCACAGTTCAATCCCAAACACGATGTGCCACCCCAGTCCCACCCCAGAGTGGGCTGAGCCAACCACAAAAAATAAAATAAAATCTCAGAGTCAGAATCAATTCCACATGACCCTCTGGAGCTCCGATCTCTGGCCATGCGTTTATGTGTTCAAAATCACAAGTTATTTCATTGGAGATGCAATCCTGCCTCTTAGATGTTTCCACTCAGCTCAGAGCAAATGGGATGTTCTGTGTTTCTTTGCATCCACCCAGTCTGTGACTAATCAGTGCTGCACAATACGCAATGCTCTATTCTTTGAGAAAGGACACCTACTTATCCTCCGTTTCCCTGTCAGCATTGAACTTGCTTGTTTGCAGATCCTATGGACCTGAACAATCGGTATAAAGCATTACGTGGATATAGATTCATGGATAGAGGTACCTGCTGAGACCCTGAGTATTGCCTATGCACTTTATGTCTAAAGTTCACCACAAGGCTGGTGGTATAGCTTAGTGGACTAAGCATTTGCAGGAGCCAGCGTTCGATCCCTGGCACTGCATCCTGCACCGGCCATGCCCCTGGGTGCTCTGAGCCTGTGATGGAGCACGGGCTGAGTTGTGCATTCCTGATTTCTGCCTCCTTTCCAGCACTAGGGAGGCAGAAATCAGAAGGATCACTATGAGTCTGAGCTGCATAGTGAGACCCTGTGCGTGCGCGTGCGCACACACACACACACACACACACACACACACACACAGGAAAAAACCCCTTAAAGATCACCTGGAATTTCTCCAGTTTACACTATAATTTAGAAAAATGCACAAGTCTGTACTTCCACAACTGCTGTGACATTCAGTACTCTGAATTGTGGCCAGCATAGGATATAGGAGAATTGTGAATGTCAGTCTCCCTGACTCTCTCCCAAGATATCATTAGAGTTGTTATAAAGATGCAGAGGACAATTTAGGAAAACAAAGAGTCAAATTTTAATGGAAAGTGCAAGAGATGATGGGAAAGTGAGAGGAGAGAGATCATTGTTCAGCAAGTAGTGTGATTATTTTATTTAATTTTATAACTTTCTAAATAATACATATGTATATATACACATATTGTTTATAGCAGTGAAAATAGTTTAAAGTACTGTAAGTAAATGAGATATGAATCAGGTTTATTTATTGAGTAAACATAAAAGCTTCCTTCTGGCCTGGGAAGTGTTTAGCAGGAGCAGGAGCCAGGCCCCTGAAGACTGAGGCTGCCGAATGATCATGTCACAGCTTGGCTGGCGAAGAGAAGTGGAGCAGCTCAGCCTCTGGCCACTTCCACACGACCATGGCTATGTGGCTCCTCTGCTGAGTGGCCCTTGGTCTCCTGGGAGCAGGTGAGGCCCGAGCACAGAGCACAGAAGAAAACCTTCACCTTGGGCTTCCCGAGGCAATCTCAGTCCTTCTCTGTATCCTCAACACTCTGCAGCTTGGGCATTAGATTCTGTTCCTTCTCTTCCAGGCTTTTCTGATGATGAAGTCGCCAAGATGCTAAGACATATGGTTACACGGAAAGGACAGATATCAATGATGACTTGTGTCCCTAATGAAGGACACAATTTTTTTATTGGTATCAGCAAAAGAAGAAGGAAGAGTTGACATTAATGGTATGTTTTCAGGACAAATGAATTCTTGATCAAACAGATGAGTTCAAGACACAATTCTCAGCTGCATGTCCCAAAGACTCTCCCTGCAGACTGGAAACCAAGTTTTCTGACCGCCAAGACTCAGCTCTATACCTCTGTGCTAGCAAGCACAGTGCTGAAATGTTCATTTCTCTGAGTGCACAAACCCATGAAACCAGCTCAGGAAACAGCTGATGGGTTAGGTTGGCGGAAGCAACAGGAATGAGCTGGAGCCAGCTAACTACAGCAGAGGTTCTTATACAGCTCAACGGGGTTGAAATGCCAAGAATCAGTGTGTTGAAGATTCTGCTGAAAGACCCCTGGTCAGGGTCTAGGCTTGTTGCCTCCGTATCTTCTTCAACCGCTTCATGCTTTTCCCTCTTCACACCCTTTTTGTCCTTTTGTCCAAATTCTCCTGATGAGTGAATTCTCATAGACCACAAATTCATTTGTCATTGCTACTCCACATTGATATAAGTCAGCCTGACTCTTTCCAAGCCTGGCTTTACAATATCAGAGCAGCAGCATAATAAAGAATTATCTAGCATTGACCTGCTCCTGGAACCATCAATTCTAGCCCTGACTGTATGTACTTTAAATCATATGTTATTTTATTTTGGAAGTCATTTTGCCTCTTAGATCTGTTCTACTCAGCTCAGAGTAAGTGAAAACCTTCATGTTGTGTGTGCATCCAAACTGTAATTTCTAGATACTGCAAAATACTCATTTGCTCCAGAGAGGACACCCAGTTGCCCAGTATCTGCCAGCATTGAAAACCAAGTGATCGATGATGTAGAGTGTGCCTAGGGGGAGTCACCTGGAGAGAAAACATTCTCTCAGGCTTTCACAGAGAGCAAATTGGTCAGGCAAAGGCCATGACTCATCTACATGGCTGACACTGATAAAGGATCTACAAACTATGATACAGGGTTTCAGGGTAAATCCTGAGAGGATTTGACTGATCTTGGCAGATACAAAAGATACATTTCTTATTATATAGGTCTAGTTTTATCTTTAACCATCCAACAGAAAAGTATAAAAATCAGGTATAAAAAGTAAAGCCATATTAATAAGTTGTTGACTTGAGCTGTAAAAGGCTCAAGTCAACAACTTCTGACATGGCCAGTTCCATGGATAGCCCACTACTATTATGGACTACTGGACTATATTGGGTTATCTTGCTGAATTCAAGCACCTACAATATTTAAATGACAATGGAATACCAATCTCTGACAAAACTAAACAAAAAAGGGGATATAAATGAAGGACCATTTTGTATCTGTATATGTGAAATAGTTAGGATAGGTATACAGCTACTTTCTCTTAATTCAATGAGAAGAAAAATTTGTACTGATAGTTTTGGACTTTATATTATGTCTGCATCTTATACTATGAATAACCACTATGAAGACAATAATATGCAATTTATTAATTATTGAAACTGTCCTATTAAAAAAAGAAAACTACATGTACTTAGAACTTTGAAGACCTGAATAACGAGCTTATAGGGTCATGTACCTAGAATCAAGGATGGAGGTAACTGTGGAGACCTGAGTGCTACATGTGCATCTTTTATGTTTCTAAACATCCCAGAAGGCTCTTCAAAATTATGCTAACTTGTATTTTCACCTACAAGTACATAAAGCTTCCTTCCATAGCCACATAACCCCTGTGACATTGTCCAATGCTCTAGATGGTGACCAGCTCACTGGTACACGTTGACTGTAGTTTCTAGTCTCCCTTAATCTCTCCCCAAATATTATCCATGATGATCATTAAAATGCAGGAGGTAATTCAAGAAAAATATAAGTAATATCAAAAATTTTCAATGAAACAAGAGAGATGGAGGGTAAGAGAGATGAAAGTAATCTCTCAAAGAGATGGGGGCACTATCAATAAAACATTAACAGTCTAGTGAACTTGTCAACCAGTAGCATCATTGTTTTCTTCTTTTATTTTGTAACTCACCTTATTCAGATCCAAAGCCCTTTCTGTATCAGGGAACTGTGGGATCTTTTTCCTTGGCTGTAGTTTTCTTCTCTTCCATACTTTGCTGATGACAAAATTATCCAGATGCCAAGACATCTGTTCAAACAGAGAGAACAGAAAGAAAAAGAAAAGGTGAACTGTGCTCCTGAAAAGACCCGCTGGTGTTTACTGATATAAAGCTGTTGATGACAATTTATGAAGAAAGAATAAAATCAAAGATTTAATAGGAAATTAGCACACAGATGCAGAGAGAGAAAACAGAAGAATTCTTTATGCTACTAATCAATAATTGACAAAAATCTAACAGATGGCGCTCTTCCTCCATCTGAAAAGCTCTCTCTCTCTCTCTCTCTCTCTAGTAAAAGTAGATATAAATATTGTAAATAAATGAGATATAAACCAGTTGTATTTACTGAGTGAAGCTAAAAGCTTTCCTTCTGATACCAGGAAGAGTTTATGCCAGGAGCTTGAGTTAGGCCCATGAAGATTGAGTCTGTCAAGCAACTACATCACAAGTGGGCTGGCAAGGAGGAGTAGATCAGCCTCAGCCTCTTGTCACTTCCACGTGACCATGGCCACATGCCTCCTCTGCTGTGTGGCTCTTGCTCTCCTGGGAGCAGGTGAGGCCCGAGCACAGAGCACAGAAGAAAACCTTCATCCTGGGCTTGCTGATCCAAATCCAAACCCTTTTCTGT